TCCCAGGATTTGCTTGAGAAGTGTCTATGGATGCAAGCCAGTGTTTTGGTCGCTTTACTAGCCGCAGCATCACATTGAAGGCTCCTGTAATATAATGTGTGTGTTTATTTGCCTGTTGGCCAAGCTTCTATGAAAGTCTAAAATGTGGAGTTTACTACTTTAAAATCAGAGAGCCAAACTGCCAGCATCACTTGCTGCAAGTGATGGTCGGGATGGGGAGGAGACCTGTTACCTGTAGCTACAGGAGAAAAGGGCGATGCACCGAATCCTATAACACCCTATGTGTGTGTTCCCTTGAGCAGTCAGCTCATGGGCTGCCAGGGACCTGACCCCATCAGGAGGCCAGTTTGCATATACGAAACAGGTGTGTCTACTTCTAAATTCCAGGTAGGGGAGGAATCCCTTTGTGACATGCACACACCCTTTCTTTTGGCATTCAAGCAAAGTGCAGACCTCAGTTCTTCACTCTAGGCTGCTTTGTTTTCCTGCTGTTTAAAACAACTTTCTCTCCCGATCTCAGAGCTTTTTGTTTCCTTCCTGCTGATCTGTGACTGTACAAGCTGACCTCTCCAAGGGGAAGGGTAGATTTCCCCTCGCATGAAAAGAATAAATGCCTCCCTCCTTAAGTGTCTTCATTGAGTTAGGCACCTGACTGATGTGGGCAGACCTGAGCATCTTGCTTTGTAGTAAGAGGAACTAACACCGTTCTTCGGATATGGTTTCCTCAAAATGTTGACATTTGTGGTGACTGAGGCATACCCACAGTGGTAGCAAGAGTGCTTCCCACTAAAGCAGCGCTGAAGTGGAGTGATGTGGAAAAAGCTTGTGTAGCATCCTGGGCATTACAATTCACTTACAGCAGAATGGGGTAGTGGGAGGTGGCAACTATCTTACAGAAGAGCTGCAGAACACGTGGCTTCTGGAAAGGCATCAGGACAGCCTGCCTCCCTGAAAGAGCCCCGCAGTTCAGGCATGAACACCCACCTGAGCCCAGCGCCCTTCCACATACTTACCAATGAACAAGAGAATGACCACAAATGTTGCAATCTCTACCGGCTCAGCCTTAGGCAGCTTCTGAAGCTTCAGCAGAAACTTCTCACCAATGGCTTTTATTTCCTTCAGAAAGCCCTCGGAGGACATCCTGGCCTGAACCGTCCACGCTTTGTTACCCTGAAGAAAAGCGAGAGAGAGAGCGAGAGCTTGTGAAACACTTTGCTGTCAGTTTGCTAACACTAAGCGAACAGCTTCCTTGATCAAGCTAATGCGGGACTGCAAGTAAGACTAGTTGATCTGGTCTCAGCCGTTGCTCAACTGCAGAGGAGAGCGGTGCACGTTCTGGTGTTGTTTTCAGCTGAAGCTGGCTTTGTCTCGAATCAGTGTCTGGGTAGATTTTTCCATCTGGGGTTGTCTTCTCTGCTTATTAAAAGCCAAGAGACCTTTTTATGTGTAGTTGGACAAGGGCAAAAATAGAGGTGTCCCAAGGACAACCTGACAGAGAGCATGACATCAAAGTGTGTTGACTGCTAGCCAAGGTCTTAGGGTTTTTTCCACCTGGGGGAAAGGACAAACAACCCAAAAGCTGCTGTTTTTTCTTGATTTCCTATTGTCTAAACTAATTTCTCCAAAAATAAGTTGACTTTTTTCTTGCCAACCTGAGACCCTTCTATTCCAAATGGTGTCCCCATGGTACATCCCCTAAATCCTTTTCCAGTGTAGACTATAAC